GCCAAAAAAGAATAATTATAAGGAACCCGCTGTCGGATTCACCGACAAATTTTGCATTTGGCGCCCAATTTTTATCCAACTTGGTTCAGCGCGGAGCAAGCACCAAATTTTCTAATGTTTATTACCAAATAGATGCTTATATAAAAAAAATTTCTTTACGTAGTCAACAACCACTTGACATAGAGAAGGAAAAGGGGTCAACATCTGTTCTGTATTGCAGGAAACAGAGCCTTCTAATGAATTCAAACTATAGTTTTTTCCTATAATTTCCCGATGATATTCACTACCGAAATCTCGGTCTGTCATTGATTTAGGGGATCAAATCAAAGTTGGACGGTGGATCAAGTTTAAATAAAATTTGATACGCAGCCACAGTTTAGTTTTCTTCGTCTTCATATATTGAATAGAACGATTGATACTCAGAAAAAATTTCTTTCCAAATTAGACATAATAATATTAGAAGAATTAATCAACCGTGAAGATGAATTGCACAACGAAAACTAAGAATACAGTAGAATATTGATGTAGAAAACACAAGAATCGATCATGATTTATTAAAAGTATTTTTCGGTTTCTGTTTACTTTCCTCCACATACAGTAACGTTGAAGTGAGTGTCAAAACTATGGCAAAAGAAGTGAGACAGATGATGAGAGTCTCGGATTTGATTCAAGATAAAATACGAGCGCTTCAGATGATCGTAACACTAACAACTTTGTAGAATCCTGTAGCGAATTTGATCCAAGAGAAAGTCTATGCCGAAATGGAAATGTTATAACATTAACCACAGTGATTTTTAGCTGAGTGTCCTTAACCCTTTACACCCGGCGGTCCCTTCCAAGGGACACATGTATCCACGTGGCAAAGCAACATCACTTAAGTCCAGATATAACATGGATGTACCAAAGAACTGTAAGTTTCAACGCAATAGTTATTTCAGCGGCAGCTATAATAATAGTGTCTTCGGGTGTAAAGGGTTAACTGCCTCCTGCATCATCCTTTACAACCGTTGATATAAGCTTCAGAATACAAACGGAAAAATATTCCATTATAGTATGAAAAACCGTTTAGTAACCGCTTTATAAGCCTTTAGTTTGTTATATACAATCAATGAAGGCTCACGACTATACAACTCTTTTGTTTTAAGATTGCAATGGCTGAATGTTCACCACAACTAGATTCTATTTTGCAGTTGATTCAGAAGCTTGAAGAATCGTTAATTGAAAAGAACAGTATCAGCAGTTTCTGGCAAGGTCATGAGCTTGAGTTGCTGCATAAATTAGATGATAGCTTAGCTAATGTAGATGATAATTCTTCATTACTCGATTCAGTCAGCAAAAAGAAAATCATTTTTGCAATGACATCGATTGAAATCAACAGCTTGCTATGTACCATAAAAGAAGGTTTACTAGACCTTTCGGTACTGACTGTCATAAGTAGTGCCATTCAGAAACAATTCTTTATATACATGGAAATGGATTCACAAATAAACAATAGCTATTTAGAAATAGCCTTGGCATACTTGAATTCACCATCAAATCTGAGTTATCTAAAAGGAGAACAAGCTCTAGATGATCGCAGTAGGAATATACATGAATTATTTCTAATGTTTTTCGCTGCTGTTGGCTCGAGATCTATATATAATAGAGTTTTCCATGCATCCTTGCTCTACAAGTCTATTTCGAATGATTGGAGTTTTCTCGACACTTCAAACCAATCATTATTTAAAGCAATTATACTTTATATCGATCAGCGCTTTTCTGGTCCAGCAAAAGCCCTAGAGTGTCCGGCATTGCCTTACGTCTTAAAATTCGTTCAAAATCTTACAGATATAGTGGTAATGGTACCTTACTTTATTGAAGTTGAATATCCGAAATTTTTCGTAGAATGGCTATCATCAAAAAGTCTTGATCAGTTTTCGTCCAATGCTTGGCTTTCATTTGTATCGATACTGAGCAATATGTGTCGTCATGAAGCGGGCGTCGTAGCTCTAAATGAATTTAATGCAATTACTTTATTAAAAGAATTCAAGTCAACGTATTCGTCATCGTTATTCACTCACGACGATTTATTGGCTTTATATTATATTATCTACTCAGCACTGCTAAAACCACATGAATTGAAAAACGAAACTGACCTAGATATTCAAATGGCAATTGACTTTGGAAGTCATCCTTCTGTTACGTGGTCAACTGTGGAGGTAACCTGCGTCAATCAAAGATCACGGTTCACAATGCTTAAGAATGAGGGCTTGAAGAAAGACTGCTTGCTTGCTTGCTTATCAGGAACATTTTTCAGCACTTGGTACAGTGGCATATGATTCACTTGAAGTTTGAATATTTATTTCCCTCATTGATTCATTCTAAGCCGAAACAAAACCGTGCATTGTGCTCTGGTTCTTTTGTGGACTCTGGCAGACGTGTAGAGATATTACAGCAATATGAGTATCGGAGTAAAGCTTCGAAGTTATGTGCATTGTATTAATGCAGTTAAATTATCGTCCTTGAATGCCTGCCCTCTCTTATATACTTACGTTACATGTTAAAAGCTGACATATCGTACTTCACAGCGCATGAACCGAACAGTATAAGCGTTGGAACTTCCGAAGGACCTTAAATACATTAAGTACCCGTGAACTTCGACGGTTAGTGCGCGAACTCGCATACTCTCGTTGAAGCTTTACCACAGGATCTCTGGTGATAAGCTTTCTTTATATGAAAAACCGTTCTAGAGAAAACGAATTCAGTTTTCTAATCGAAGCATTTTCATGTACCTAAATTTTAAAATGCCTTATCAAGAATGAAAAAACACGTATCAGAAAGAGAAAGACTGGCAAATGATTGTGCCTAGCTATTTTAGAGGGGACAGAGTCAGGACATTCAAAAATTTGATTATAAAATATCTCGACAGCACCATATCATGAATGGTATATATGAAGCGTTCAATTCACCATCATTTCAAACTAGCTCGTATCACGTGACGGAACTCTTAATCCCCTTGTCGAAACTCATAATTAACGATAAATGTATGATATATGTTCTGGATAAGGTCAAAATCAGTGGATCCAATCAAACAACTTGCGATTTCTTCCTGGAAAAATTTATTCAGTCTAATTCGATCGTAACTGAAGATGTTACATTGANTATCATGAATGGTATATATGAAGCGTTCAATTCACCATCATTTCAAACTAGCTCGTATCACGTGACGGAACTCTTAATCCCCTTGTCGAAACTCATAATTAACGATAAATGTATGATATATGTTCTGGATAAGGTCAAAATCAGTGGATCCAATCAAACAACTTGCGATTTCTTCCTGGAAAAATTTATTCAGTCTAATTCGATCGTAACTGAAGATGTTACATTGACGAATACGTACGAAATTATCCGTGTCACATTATTTAATATTTTTTGGAGTATCAGCTTCCAGGACAGTTACGATGATAAACTAAAGTCGAACAATGATTTTATTCGTATTGTTGTGCATGCAGCTCAGCAGCCGACAACAGAAACAAAAATAGACGTTGAACAACGATCGAGTATTAGAAATTCGGCTCAAGGCATCTTAACGAATCTTGATATCGATCAAGAAATGCTTACGTATAAGACACCAAGCAAGGAAAATGAGAATGAAATGAGCGTCATGGTTTCTTACGCACATCGTGATGCCGATATCTGTCAGAAGCTTGTACAGAAACTAAAAGAAAGAATTAGCTCAGTATGGGTCGATTTCGAGAAACTTGAAGCAAATGATTGCTGGGAAGATATAGCTCATGCCATAACAGAATCTAATACCATTCTAATAATCGCAACCGAAAATTATTGTGCAAGTAAATCGTGTCGGCGAGAAGCAATACATGCTGATAAACGGGGGAAAAGAATCATACCCATTTACCTCTCTGACTATCAACCAGAGGAATGGTTGGAAATAAGGATTGAGAATGCGACCTATGTAAAGTTTAATAAAAGACCATTCGAAGAAACAGTCGCTAAACTGATCGATTTGATTCTAATAAATGAGAAGAAGAACCCGAAGTCGGGACATGGAGATATCTCAATACAAGCAAAGCCTGTCGAACAGTCGAAGCTACCAACACTACCAATCCAAGCTCCTCATGAACTAAAATCAGCTGAAACAAAGGTTACTTCTCCAGTACAAAGCGAATCAAAGGCTTACATCCCAGATCTACCCGAAATTCTACCGAAAATAACGACAGAAACGCACTTTAATGAAAAAGCGCTTTTGAATTGGACACAAGATGATGTTAAAATGTGGTTTCATCATGAAAGACTGAACCCGCATTTGTGTGAGTTGTTTTCTTTTGCGAGTGGTACTGCATTACTGACCTATGCGAAATTGATCTTACGTGGCGACGATGCAAGAATCCAAAGTGAGTACGAAGAGTTAGCTTACCGTCTAAAGGGTGAATTATTCCATCGTGACCAGTACGCTGTTTTAATGGGTTCGTTAGACAAATTAATCTCTCGTTTCGAACAGAAACCGATTTCTGACTGGAATAGCGATGATATTCAACGGTGGTTTCGTGAGCATAATCTACCATCGTATCTATATGAAATGTTTGGATTTTCAAACGGGCAAGCACTTTTCATGTATGCTCGCCTCGTAACTACATTGAACGCAGACAATGAATATGAACGGTTGAAAAAACGGTTAGAGATCCAGTACGGCAAACCTTTCTACTTAAGTGAACATGCTAAACTTTTAACTGCAATGATCGAACTAACAAATACCTTTCAAAAAGCCTCACAAGTTGAACAATCTGTCATAAATAACAGCGAATCTCTATCGTGTTCTGTAATGTAATCGAACTGTGCTGGTATTGTAGAGCCTAATGTTTTTGCAATACAATCAATGCAAAAGAATTAAACAAAACTGTGTCTAGAACATTTATTTATGATATTCTTATACATTGCTGTTAAGATTAATTATACACATGGAAGATACTACAGTAAGATTTATCTTCATTGTGTTTTTCATTAGTTTTTATTACCAAATAGATGCTTATATAAAAAAATTTACGTAGTCAACAACCACTTGACATAGAGACGCATAATAATATTAGAAGAATTGATCAACCGTGAAGATAAATTGCACAACGAAAACTAAGAATACAGTAGAATGTTGATATAGACAACAACAAGAATCGATTATGATTTATTAAAAGTATTTTTCGGTTTCTGTTTACTTTCCTCCACATACAGTAACGTTGAAGTGAGTGTTAAAACTATGGCAAAAGAAGTGAGACAGATGATGAGAGTCTCGAATTTGATTCAAGATAAAATACGAGCGCTTCAGATGATCGTAACGCTAACACCTTTGTAGAATCTTGTAGAGAAAAATTAACCAAGCAAAGTTGAACGTGTACAAAATAAAAAATAAAAGAAGGTTCAAACTCGAAAATTGGAGTCGCACCCGATAGCAAAACGAATGGAGTATTCAGCATGAAATTTTTTGAAAAATGTCGCCTAGAACAACACGGATTTTACTTAACTTTATTCTCTCGATCAGTGAAAAGTATTTAGGAGACTTGAAGCCTTTCGAAATGTTTTATAATCCATTAAATACGGATTTTCAAAACACTTCTAGCTGCAATCTCATGGTTATTTAATTGCTGTACTTCCCTAAATATACCATTTGATAGAGCGTTTCACGCGTTGCAATCTGTTATACAGACATTTGAAAAAAAAGTATAATAGTGTAGATAGCGGATATAAGGTAGCGCTTCCACAATGAATCGAATGTAGTTCAATCCCTGTTCCATCATTACATCGACATTCGCTGCTGGCGACGAGGCTTACCTCATTTTGTAAAGCTTAGCGTCTCATTTGTTTTCACGTTTAAATGCCAACGGTTTTTTTGATTTTCCAAAAAAACATTTGGCGCTTAAAATAAAATGCAATTTAGGTTTCAGCATGTTTTTCGTCAACTCGACCACCCAAGCAGACAAACATTTGGAAAAACGCGTTTAAACGCTCAAAAGGGAACCGTGATTGTGAGTCAGTAACGCTCATTAAAAAAACGCAAGAAACGCGTTTTTTGCGCAAAATTTTCACTTTCACACCGTGAAAACGGCGAAAACTTCAGTTTTTGAGCGTTAAAACTCATTGTTTTTAAATTCTGGAATAAAAGCGCGTTTTAACGCTCAACAACGGGAGTTTTCGCCGTTTTCACGGTCTGAAAGTGAAAATTTTGCGCAAAAAACGCGTTTCTTGCGTTTTTTTAATGAGCGTTACTG